AGTCCCTCTTTGCGCTGAAAAAGCAGAAGGTGAAAGCTCAAAAGGAGCCTAGCAAGCAGAAGCCCATTGAGGCCGTTGAGGATCCCTCCGCAGCTTCTGCTGGTGAGGTCAGGGTGGTCTCAGGCTGTAGTGGCTTCAAAGAAGAAAAAGACCGGAAAGGGGGCTGATCCCTCGACGAAGAAGCACAAGGCGGCCGACCCCGGCAAGCAGCCTGCCTCCAATGAGGTTATCATTGTGGACGAGGGGATTGGGTCCGCCCCCTTGCCTCAGGAGTTTGTGAACAAATATTTCTTCGGCCGGGAGAGGCTGGAGTGTCACGCCCCGGACCTACCCGGACACGTCAACAACCCACCGTACAGTACGAATAGCCAACCGCAGTCCAACTCATCCATACTATACCAGGCGTCTTGAATACCATTCACACATAGTACATCCATAAACAAACATAATGTAAAATAAACATTTATAGCAGCGGAAACATTTAACACAAGTGTTTATGCCACACCTCGGCCAACATGGGCATACAAGCCCCCAAATAATTATTCAAAAAAACAATATCCATGAGCATAGTTATAATTGTTTTGAAAACAGGAAACAGAAGAAGCACGAACCACGTCTTCTCCCCTGAATATCCCCGAAGCAACGGGCGCCAGTAGCAACCTTCAAGTTCTACCTGAAACTGTGAGGTGGCCTCCCCCGTGAAGGGGAGGTCAGTACTTGGAAGCATTTAACAAGTACAATGACAACTATACTAAGTATAATCAACGTTTTAATTTCCAAGACCCTCAAAATAGGGTGATATCATAATATAAATAATAATTTATATTTCCCACTTATTATCCTTGCAATAAGTAAATTCATTATTTGTTTGTTCGGCACACGGCCCTTCTTATATATTCCTTTTCATTTATCCATTGCACAACCCAATCGTTGGGTCTTAATATTTCTACGGGACTTGCTACCGCTGTCCGAAACCTCATGTGTAACACCGACCCCGAGCATATTTACTTTTAGAAATTATGTAATAAACCTTGAAAGATGATTTATGAATTTGCGTAATTGTAAATTTTTATTATTTCTTTTACGTGAATAGTAAATTGCATGTGGGACCCACAACGGGAACGGGGACCGCCCGATAATTCCCGAACCACATATTGTATTCATCTTGGTCTAGATGACATCTATATGGTTGTGGATATTTTATTTGGACCATAAGAAAGGCATGGAGTTGACCGGTTGGTCAAACGGGGCCCAATTACGGTATTGGCAAATTAACGGATAACAGCCCGAAATGAGTTTCGGAGGCTCCTAAATTAATGTTGGGGAATGTACATCGTTTCTAAAGGCCCATAATTATTAGGAACACGTGATATATTTTATCCGGCCCGATAAAATAAAATATGACTAAAGTAGTCCGAAAAATACAACTTTCGGGGCCGATTATACATACTGGGACGTAATGGGATGACCTCCCACATAAGTGGGGGCCACCCCACGTTTTTATGGGTGCTGATTGACTGAGTAATAAGGGAAGGGGAGCAACACAATGTGCTGGTACGCACAAGTGAGGGGAGGAAGCCTCCTAAGGACAAAGAATATCCCCCATGTCCTCTCAATGCATGTGCATTGGTTTTGATTGAAAATCAGATGCCACCCCCCTATTACTTGCATTCATTCGGACCTTACAAGGAGAGGATAAGCTTCAGGAAGTCTCTCACAAAGGTTGGAGCTTGAGGCCAGCAAGAAGAGAGGAAATCCAAAGAGAAAAAGCTAGGTAAGAACACCAATAGTTCTTTTAACTAGTTTTATGGTGTATGATTTTTAAGAAATCATATGGTGGATTAAACATGATGGTCTACACGTTTAAAAGTGTAGAATATTGATATAAAGTGGTGATTTTTAACTTAGAAGAGTTGGTGAATCGATAGGACTCGAAATCGCCGGAAACCGCCACTTTAAAGGAGCTGCTCGTTTCTGCAGACCACGAAAGCCGCCCGGCTTTTGCCCAGCAGCTCAGTTTTACACCTTCAATCGGCCTAGAACGGGGATTGATCGAGGGGCTTAGCAAAGGCAACTATTTCAGCACTTCATAAGGTGAGGATGGCTGACTATATTGCTTATAATTAGTGAGTTAATTTCATGTGATTACCGAAGGTAATTAAATGTGTTTTTATGGATTATTAATGATTAATAATGCCTAAAAATGAAAAGACTAAATGTCTAGAGAAAAAGGAGCATGATATACAAATTTAGGAGTAAATTGTGTATGTTCATGTGTTATGAGTATGTTGACTTGAAAGTAGAATCTATTATGAAACATGTGTTGAAATATACTTTTTTCTTCATATTAGAATATATGAGTGATTAAAAGTGATATTTTGGATATTGAGATAAATGATATTTTCAAAGGAAAATCAGTGGAATTGTCTATATGACTATGAGTTGAGAACTTGGTTTGTTGATATTAATTTGACTAGTATTAAGATACTAGTTGGACATTAAAATGAAATGTTGTTAAGATTGATCCTAAGGTTGGATTGTGAAATGTTATGCCTTAAGTAGTCTTAAGAGATGCTTAAGGTAGGAAAGTATGAACTCTAAGTTATACTAGGGGTAGGCCTTAAGGGATACCCAAGATAAAGTAAATAATGAATTGATCCTAAGTATAGGATTGGCCTACGGGTGTGTTCGGTAGTCCTTGTGGATAGCCGGTTGAATTATGGAAATAGTAAGGACCATGGCCCTTCCCGACTCTAGAGAGCGGGGTTGGATAGCATGGACTTACATCGTGATCACGGGTTAGGGTGGAATCCGAATCGGAGACCTAACTAGGTTCCGGTAGCGGTAACACATAAGATAGGACCCCGAAGGGCCTTACCTTCCTATGGGATGATGGGTACGAGTCCAGGGGCGGGATGTTGCAGTCCGAACCGGGAGCCTCATGAGGTCTCGGACAGCGGTAGCAAGTCCCATAGAAATAATAAGACCCAAGGGTTGGGTTGTGCAAATGCTAAATGAAAAGGAATATATAACAAGGGCCGTGTGCCGACAGATAAATAAATTCACTTATTATAAAGATAATAAGTGGGAAATATAAATTGTTATTTATATTATGATATCACCCTATTTTGAGGGTCTTGGAAATTAAAACGTTGATTATACTTAGTATAGTTGCTATTGTACTTGTCAAATATTTCCAAGTACTGACCTCCCCTTCACGGGGGAGGCCACCTCACAGTTTCAGGTAGAACTTGAAGGTTGCTACCGGCGCCCGTTGCTTCGGGGATTTTCAAGGGAGAAGACGTGGTTCGTGCTTCTTCTGTTTCCTGTTTTCAAAACAATTATAACAATGCTTATGGATACTATTTTCTTAATAATTACTTTGGGGGCTTGTATGCCTAGTTATGCCAAGTGTGGCTTGGACAATTGTATTAATGCTTCCGCTATTTTAAATGCATGTTTTACATTATGTTTGTTTATGGATGTACTATGTGTGAATGATATTCATGACGCCTTGTATAGTATGGATGAGTTGGACTGCGGTCGACTATTCATACTGTACGGCGGGTTGTTGACGTGTCCGGCTAGGTCCGGGGCATGACAATTTAATTGGTATCAGAGCCAGGTTCGTAAACATCATAATGAAGCTTCAAAATGCTTTTTGAAAATGAAATTGAAAACCATGAGCATAAAGTTTTGTACTTATAGAACTTTTGGTACTTGAGTTGCAATGTCTCTAATTGTTAAGATGGTACCCTTAACAATTGGTATGGCGGTGATTTGAGCCAAAGGATGTCTTTAAGTGCCTATCCGTCAATTGACATTTGATACGAGTCTAATGACTCATTCTAAATTTCTTTCAGAAATGGAATGTACCGGTAAAGTTACTCGACGGAACCCGACTGGCCAGGCACCGGGAGGATCCCAACGTGGCAGCTGGGGAGGGTCGAGGGTGTCTCGGGGACAGGGCCGTGCATGCCACTCACTGACGGTGAGTGACGGTCATGTGGAGACGTATGATGAGCAATATGAGTCCGAGGAGGATTCAACTTACCAACCGGGAACCGAACCGGTGGAAACCCCATATGACGGGGAAGATGATGTGAGCGAAGAGAGCGACGATAATGACGCTCTTGAAAGAATAGAGGAACTACTCCGACAGTACCACCAAGATCGCCAAAGGCGCCGGGCAAGGCGTGCTTTGGAAGGGGCTTCAAGAAGAGGAAGCCGTGTGACTCCTAGGGAGATCATAGAACCCCGAGGAGGGGGAGGTGCTGAGGTCCCTATAATAAGAATCTCAAAGTACCTCAAAGAGGCAAGAGACTTGGGATGTAAACCGTTTGATGGAACGGGGGACATCTCCGTGGCGGCCGAGTGGATCAAAAGATTCAACGAGGCGGCCCTCGACATGCAACTACCACCCCACATGAAGTTGAGAGTAGCCACGAGGCTACTAGAAGGCATGGCGTCCACGTGGTGGGATGGAACAAAAGGGAAGTACGGCGAGGCCGTCACTTGGGAGAATTTCAGACAGGAGTTCTTCAGCCAATACTACTCCGACTTCGAGGTGAACTTGAAGAGGAGGGAGTACACGAATCTGACCCAAGGAGGTGAATGTACGGTGAAGGAACTTGAGCACAAATTCAGAAAGCTTGCTGAGTTCATACCGGAGTACATTTGTGATGAAAACCGGATGGTGAACCACTTCTGGGATTCCTTGGACCTTGACATACGCGAGAGGGCAACACAATTGCCTAATATGACGTTTAGTCAAGTGGTTGAACAAGGCTTGAAGGGGGAGAAAGAGTGGGAGGAAAGGAAACGAAGGAATGCCGAGGAGGCAAAGAAAAGAAAATGGGAGAACCATGGCCCTCAAGGTTCCAACAAGAAGGGGAACCACGGGGGAGGCGGATCCTTCAAAACCCCTGCACCACCGGTAAGGGGAAATCAAGGCCCGAGCGGGCAAAGCTCTGTGTCACAAGGCTCAGGCGTGAAGAAGTGCAACAACTGCAAGAAGAACCACTTTGGCAAGTGCCGCGATCCCCCGAGGTGCTATCAATGCGGGGAGGTCGGGCATTTGAAGGTGAGTTGCCCACAACTTGGGCGAGCCATGGGGGCCGGACCAAGTAGTGGAACGACGGTGAGCAGGAACCGAACCGGAGCACCAAGTGCTAGCGGTGGGCACGGTGAGGCGAGTGCAAGCAACGCGCCATCCGTAAACCAAGGAAGGACCCAAGCTCGGGTCTATGCTATGACGGAGGCGGATGCTCGTGCCAACCCGGACTCCGTTGCGGGTAATTCCTTAAACTCACGTATTAATTTTCATAAACAATAGGAGTGTGGAACTTGTAAAATAATAACCCCGACGAGTTTGGTCGGGTTGAGGAGGAAAAGGGGAGGAGAATCCTCGCCCTGGGCGAATGGCTCCCGGCTTTGACGAAAGCCGCCCGACTTTCGTCTTGATCATTGGGAAAAATACTACGGCAATGAATGCCGGCCAGCTTCCACCGAGGACAGCCCGACTTTCGTATATAACAATCAACAAATTTTTCTCGCAAACGAAAACCGGTCGGCTTTCACAGAAACCGACCGGCGTTTGGAAAATTGGTCCGGAATAATCTGCGGCGCTCAAAGTCGCCCGGCTTTGGTGAAAGCCGCCCGGCTTTCGTTAAGCCTGGGGATTCCTGCGCTGCCGAAACCCGGCCGGGTTTCGTAGAAACCGGCCGACCTTCGAAACCATTCCACGAATAAAACTGCGGCGACGAAAACCGGCCGACTTTCGTGAAAGCCGCCCGGCTTTCGTGATTTTCATAGATGGATTTTTTCTCGCAGACGAAAACCGGCCGGCTTTCGTGAAAAGCGGCCGACTTTCACCTGGTTTAGTCCTAGAACGGTTCTAAAGGTTAGAAACCGGGGAATTTCGGGAGGGTGTCGAACGGACTTCACCCGAATCACGACCAACACACTCTACGACTTAAGAAACAAGCCTATTTATTAGATCATGTGTCTTACATTACTTATGAATGTAGGAACACTAAAGATAAACGGGAGAGACGCAAGGATCCTTATTGATACCGGGGCGCAACGATCATTTGTGAGTGAGGCGTTCGCCAGCGGATTCAACGGACCACTTGTACCGATGACTCAAACCCTATTGGTGTCCACGTCTCTAGGGGATGATATCGAGAGAGATAGCCACTATCCATCGTGTGAGGTGGAGGTGGAGGGACAGAACTTGACGTGTGATTTCGTACCGCTGAGTATGATCGAGTTTGATGCAATCCTCGGGATGGATTGGCTTGAGAAACATCATGCTAGGGTCGATTGCTACACAAAGATTCTTGAACTCGAAGGCGGTGAAGGCTTGACCTTACGTTTCGAGGGAGATAGAGGCAAATCAAACAGTTGTATCATATCCGCCGTGAGAGCGAGGAATATGATGAGAAAAGGATGCCACGCATATCTAGCTTACATGGTGGACAAAACCAAAGAAGAAGTAGACATCAATGATGTGAGAATAGTGTGCAAGTATCCGTATGTCTTCCCAAAAGACTTGCCGAGGCTTCCACCCGATAGGGAGATTGAGTTCGTGATCGAGGTTGAACCCGACACCAAACCAATCTCTATACCGCCATACAGAATGGCACCCGCTGAACTTAACGAGTTGAAAACCCAATTACAAGAGCTATTGGATAACGGTTTCATAAGGCCGAGTCACTCTCCGTGGGGAGCACCGGTCCTTTTCGTGAAAAAGAAAGATGGAACACTTCGAATGTGCATTGACTATCGTCAACTGAACAAGGTCACAATCAAGAATAGGTATCCCTTACCTAGGATTGATGACTTGTTTGATCAGCTCCGAGGAGCAACGGTGTTTTCGAAGATTGACTTGAGGTCGGGGTACCACCAACTGAAAATAAAGGAGGATGACATACCGAAGAGTGCATTCCGCACAAGGTATGGTCATTTCGAGTTCCTAGTTATGTCGTTCAGGCTAACTAACTCTCCGGCGGCATTTATGGACTTGATGAACCGGGTATTTCATAAATACTTGGACCGGTTCGTGATTGTGTTCATAGATGATATCTTGATTTACTCGAAGAGTGAAGAAGAGCATGAGGAGTACTTGATACTTGTTCTTGAGACACTACGGGAGAAGCAACTCTATGCCAAGTTTTCCAAATGTGAATTTTGGCTAAGGGAGATTGGCTTTCTCGGGCATGTGGTTTCGGGGTCAGGGATTGCCGTAGATAACAAGAAGATTGAGGCCATTACTGAATGGGAGAGGCCAAAGAACGCCAAGGAAGTTCGTAGCTTCCTTGGATTGGCAGGGTACTACCGAAAATTTGTGGAGAAGTTCTCAGTTTTGGCATCGCCATTGACGAAGCTCACTCGAAAGGGGGCCAAGTTTGTATGGGATGACCGATGTGAGAAGGGATTCCTTGAACTGAAGAAGAGATTGACCGAGGCACCGGTACTCGCACTACCCAAACAGGGTGTGGGGTACGATGTCTACAGCGACGCAAGCATCCAAGGGCTTGGATGTGTCTTGATGCAGAATGGGAGGGTGATTGCCTATGCTTCACGACAGTTGAAGAAGCATGAGGTAAATTATCCCACTCATGACTTAGAGCTGGGGGCGGTGGTGTTCGCATTGAAGATTTGGAGACATTATCTCTACGGGGAAACATGTCATATTTACACTGACCACAAGAGTCTGAAATACGTATTTACTCAAAAAGAGTTAAACATGAGACAGAGACGGTGGATGGAGTTGATAAAAGACTACCACCTAGTTATCGAGTACCACCCCGGTAAAGCCAACATGGTAGCGGATGCCTTGAGCCGGAAGAATTCATCTGGGGCATTAGTGACTAGCTTGAGGGCATTGAGAGCCCAATTGGAGGTGTCTAGCGACGGTGCCTTATTAGCCAGATTCGAGGTGAGACATACATTACTTGATGAAATCAAGAAGGGTCAAGAAACCGACGAAGAAATTATGAAGATCCGTGAACGCATGCTAGCAGGACCGGTTGAGGATTTCTGGGAGAGAGACGATGGTCTCTTATTATTTCGTGACCGAGTGTGTGTACCGTTGGACGATGAGCTCCGAAAGTCCATCTTAGAGGAGGCTCATTCATCGGCGTATGCCATGCACCCGGGAGGCACGAAGATGTACCGTGATTTGAAGGAAAGTTACTGGTGGTCGGGTATGAAGAGGGAAATAGCCGAGTACATCAGTAGGTGTCTTACTTGTCAACAAGTTAAGGCAGAACATCAGCATCCGGCTGGGTTACTACAGCCACTTTCCATTCCTGAATGGAAGTGGGAGCACGTGACTATGGATTTCGTGGTGGGGCTGCCACGAACGGTTAGAAACTATGATGCGGTATGGGTTGTGGTCGATAGGCTCACGAAGAGTGCACACTTCCTACCTATCAATACTACCTATGCACTGGAGAGGTTTGCCAAGTTGTATGTGGACGAGATCGTGAGGCTACATGGGATTCCTATAACCATTGTATCCGATAGAGATCCGCGATTCACATCACGATTTTGGCCGAAATTCCAAGAATCTATGGGGACAAAGTTGAAATTCAGTACAGCTTTTCATCCACAAATGGACGGGCAATCTGAGCGGGTTATACAGATATTAGAGGATATGCTGAGAGCCTGTGCATTGGAGTTCCAAGGGAGTTGGGACAACCATTTGTCACTTGTGGAGTTTGCCTATAACAACAGTTATCAGGCGAGTATAGGCATGCCTCCATACGAGGCATTGTATGGGAGGAGATGTCGTACACCGTTGTGTTGGGATGAGGTTGGCATGGCCAAACTCGAGAGCACGGAATTGGTGGAGATCACCAAGTCTAAGGTGAAGATGATTCGTGAGAGACTTAAGGCGGCCCAGGATAGACAGAAAAGTTATGCCGACAAGCGCCGAAGAGCCTTGGAGTTTAAGTTGGGAGATGAAGTATTTTTGAAAGTTTCACCTTGGATGGGAATCATCCGATTTCAGAGCCGAGGGAAACTTAACCCACGATACATAGGGTCATTCGTGGTTCTTGAGAGGATTGGGGCCGTGGCATACCGATTACAGTTGACTCCAGAATTGGAGAAGATACATAACGTATTCCACGTCTCCATGCTTAAGAAGTATATGCCGGATCCATCTCACGTATTAGAAAAACCACCCGTGGAAATACGGGAAGACTTGAATTATGCCGTGCAACCGATGGAGATACTTGACAGGCAAGTCAAGAAATTGAGAAGCAAGAAAGTCCCAATGGTTAAATTCCTTTGGAAAAGTGACCGAGTTGAGGAGGAAACTTGGGAAACGGAAGCTTTGATGAAAGAGCAATACGCGTTTTTGTTTGAGTGAGCATTGTGAATTTCGGGGACGAAATTCCCGTTAAGGGGGGGTGAACTTGTAACACCGACCCCGAGCATATTTACTTTTAGAAATTATGTAATAAACCTTGAAAGATGATTTATGAATTTGCGTAATTGTAAATTTTTATTATTTCTTTTACGTGAATAGTAAATTGCATGTGGGGCCCACAACGGGAACGGGGACCGCCCGATAATTCCCGAACCACATATTGTATTCATCTTGGTCTAGATGACATCTATATGGTTGTGGATATTTTATTTGGACCATAAGAAAGGCATGGAGTTGACCGGTTGGTCAAACGGGGCCCAATTACCGGTATTGGCAAATTAACGGATAACAGCCCGAAATGAGTTTCGGAGGCTCCTCAATTAATGTTGGGGAATGTACATCGTTTCTAAAGGCCCATAATTATGAGGAACACGTGATATATTTTATCCGGCCCGATAAAATAAAATATGACTAAAGTAGTCCGAAAAATACAACTTTCGGGGCCGATTATACATACCGGGACGTAATGGGATGACCTCCCACATAAGTGGGGGCCACCCCACGTTTTTATGGGTGCTGATTGACTGAGTAATAAGGGAAGGGGAGCAACACAATGTGCTGGTACGCACAAGTGAGGGGAGGAAGCCTCCTAAGGACAAGGAATACCACATGTCCTCTCAATGCATGTGCATTGGTTTTGATTGAAAATCAGATGCCACCCCCCTATTGATTGAAAATGAAAAGACTAAATGTCTAGAGAAAAAGGAGCATGATATACAAATTTAGGAGTAAATTGTGTATGTTCATGTGTTATGAGTATGTTGACTTGAAAGTGGAATCTATTATGAAACATGTGTTGAAATATACTTTTTTCTTCATATTAGAATATATGAGTGATTAAAAGTGATATTTTGGATATTGAGATAAATGATATTTTCAAAGGAAAATCAGTGGAATTGTCTATATGACTATGAGTTGAGAACTTGGTTTGTTGATATTAATTTGACTAGTATTAAGATAGTAGTTGGACATTAAAATGAAATGTTGTTAAGATTGATCCTAAGGTTGGATTGTGAAATGTTATGCCTTAAGTAGTCTTAAGAGATGCTTAAGGTAGGAAAGTATGAACTCTAAGTTATACTAGGGGTAGGCCTTAAGGGATACCCAAGATAAAGTAAATAATGAATTGATCCTAAGTATAGGATTGGCCTACGGGTGTGTTCGGTAGTCCTTGTGGATAGCCGGTTGAATTATGGAAATAGTAAGGACCATGGCCCTTCCCGACTCTAGAGAGCGGGGTTGGATAGCATGGACTTACATCGTGATCACGGGTTAGGGTGGAATCCGAATCGGAGACCTAACTAGGTTCCGGTAGCGGTAACACATAAGATAGGACCCCGAAGGGCCTTACCTTCCTACGGGATGATGGGTACGAGTCCAGGGGCGGGATGTTGCAGTCCGAACCGGGAGCCTCATGAGGTCTCGGACAGCGGTAGCAAGTCCCATAGAAATAATAAGACCCAAGGGTTGGGTTGTGCAAATGCTAAATGAAAAGGAATATATAACAAGGGCCGTGTGCCGACAGATAAATAAATTCACTTATTATAAAGATAATAAGTGGGAAATATAAATTGTTATTTATATTATGATATCACCCTATTTTGAGGGTCTTGGAAATTAAAACGTTGATTATACTTAGTATAGTTGCTATTGTACTTGTCAAATATTTCCAAGTACTGACCTCCCCTTCACGGGGGAGGCCACCTCACAGTTTCAGGTAGAACTTGAAGGTTGCTACCGGCGCCCGTTGCTTCGGGGATTTTCAAGGGAGAAGACGTGGTTCGTGCTTCTTCTGTTTCCTGTTTTCAAAACAATTATAACAATGCTCATGGATACTATTTTCTTAATAATTACTTTGGGGGCTTGTATGCCTAGTTATGCCAAGTGTGGCTTGGACAATTGTATTAATGCTTCCGCTGTTTTAAATGTATGTTTTACATTATGTTTTTTTATAGATGTACTATGTGTGAATGATATTCATGACGCCTTGTATAGTATGGATGAGTTGGACTGCGGTCGACTATTCGTACTGTACGGCGGGTTGTTGACGTGTCCGGCTAGGTCCGGGGAGTGACATCATGAGGCTCTCGGTTCGGACTCCAACATCCCGCCCCTGGACTCATACCCATCATCCCGTAGGAAGGTAAGGCCCTTCGGGGTCCTATCTTATGTGTTACCGCTACCGGAACCTAGTTAGGTCTCCGATTCGGATTCCACCCTAACACGTGATCACGATGCAAGTCCATGCTATCCAACCCCGCTCTCTAGAATCGGGAAAGGCCATGGTCCTTACTTATTTCCATAATTCAACCGGCTATCCACAAAGACTACCGAACACACCCGTAGGCCAATCCTATACCTAGGATCAATTTATTACTTACTTTATCTTGGGTATCCCTTAAGGCCTACCCCTAGTATAACTTAGAGTTCATACTTTCCTACCTTAAAGCATCTCTTAAGACTACTTAAGGCATAACATTTCACAATCCAACCTTAGGATAATCTTAACAATATTTCATCTTAATGTCCAACTAGTATCTTAATACTAGTCAAATTAATACCAACCAACCAAGTTCTCAACTCATAGTCATATAGACAATTCCAACTGATTTTCCTTTGAAAATATCAATTATCTCAATATTCAAAATATCACTTTTAATCCCTCATATATTCTAATATGAAGAAAAATATATTTCAACATATGTTTCATAATTAATTCCACTTTCAAGTCAACATATTCATAACACATGATCATACACAATTTACTCTTAAATTTGTATATCATGCTCCTTTTTCTTTAGACATTAGTCTTCTCATTCTTAGGCATTATTAATCATTAATAATCCAAAAAACACATTTAATTACCTTAAGAAATCTCATGAAATTAACTCACTAATTATAAGCAATATAGTCAGCCATCCTCACCTTATGAAGTGTTGAAATAGTTGCCTTTGTTAAGCTCCCCGATTAATCCTCGTTTTAAACCGATAAGAAGGAAAAACTGGACTGCCTGGACAAAAGCCGGGCGGCTTTCACGAAAGCTGGACGGCTTTCGTAGTCTGCAACTATGAACAGCTCCTTTGGAGTGGCGGTTTCCGGCGGTTTCGACTCCTATCGATTTGCCAACCCTTCTAAGTTAATTAACACCACTTTATAACAATATTCTACACTTTTAAACGTGTAGAACACCATGTTTAATCCACCATATGATTTCTTACAAATCATACATGATAAAACTAGTTAAAGAACAATAGTTATGTTCTTACCTTAAACTCAAGCTATTTCTTGTGGATTTTCCTAGCTTCCCTCTTCCTCCAACTAGAGCTTTGCTTCTCCTTAGGCTTCTCCTGCTTTGTGCTGGCCGAAAGACACAAGATAGGGGGGAGGCATCTCCTCTCAATCAATTAGAAGAGATGCCAAGAGTGGGACATGGAGCATGTTCATTTTGTCTCTAGCAGGCTTCCTCTCATTGATTGTGCGTACCAGCACATTAGTTTGCTCCCCCCTCCTATTACTCAGTCCATCAGCACTCCAAAAATCGTGGGGTGGCCCCCACTTATGTGGGAGGTCATCCTGTTATGTCCCGGTATGTATAATCGGCCCCGAAAGTTGTATTTCTCAGTCCGTTTTAATTATATTATATTTTATCGGGCCAAATAAAATATATCCCGCGTTTCTAATACTTACGGGCCTTTAGAATAGATGTACGTTCCCCAACATTAATTTGGGAGTCTCCGAAACTCATTTCGGATTGTTAACCGCTAAATTACTAATACCGGTAATTGGGCCTCGTTTGACCCCCGGTCAACTCCGTGCCTTTCCTATGGCCCAAATAAAATATCCACCACCATATAGATGTCATATATACCAAGATGAATATAATATGTGGTTCGGGAATTATCGGGTGGTCCCCATTCCCGCTGTGGGCCCCACATGCAATTTACTATTCACGTAAAAGAAATAATAAAATTTAACAATTACGTAAATTCATAAATCATCTTTCAAGGTTTACTACATCGTTTACTAAAAGTAAACATGCTCGGGGACGGTGTCACAAGTTCACCCCCCCTTAACGGGAATTTCGTCCCCGAAATTCACAACGATTATTCAAACAGAAATGCATACTGATCCTTCATCGAGGCCTCAATCTCCCAAGTTTCTTCTTCCACTCGGTCACTCTTCCAAAGGATTTTGACCATTGGAACTTTCTTGCTTCTTAGCTTCTTTACTTGCCTGTCAAGTATCCTTACCGGTTGTACGGCGTAGTTCAAATCCTCCCGTATTTCCACGGGTGGTTTCTCTACTCTAGTACATGGGATGGATCCGGAATATAATTTTTAAGCATAAACATGTGGAATACATTATGTATTTTCTCCAACTCCGGGGTCAACTGTAATCGGTACGCTACGGCCCCAATTCTTTCAAGAATCACAAACGGCCCTATGTAGCGTGGGTTAAGTTTCCCTCGGCTCTGAAATCGGATGATTTCTTTCCAAGGTGAAACCTTCAAAAATACCTCATCTCCAACCTTAAACTCTAAGGCTTTTTGGCGCTTATCGGCATAGCTCTTCTGTCTATCATGTGTCGCCTTAAGTCTGTCACGAATCATCTTCACCTTTGACTTGGTGATTTCCACCAGTTCCATGCTCTCGAGTTTGGCCATGCCAACCTCATCCCAACACAAAGGTGTACGACATCTCCTCCCATACAATGCCTCGTATGGAGGCATGCCTATACTCGCCTGATAACTGTTGTTATAGGCAAACTCCACAAGTGCCAAATGGTTGTCCCAACTCCCTTGGAACTCCAATGCACAAGCTCTCAGCATATCCTCTAATATCTGTATAACCCGCTCGGATTGCCCATCCGTTTGCGGATGAAAAGCTGTACTGAATTTCAGTTTTGTCCCCATAGATTCTTGGAACTTTGGCCAAAATCGTGATGTGAATCGCGGATCTCTATCAGATACAATGGTTATAGGAACCCCATGTAGCCTCACGATCTCGTCCACATACAACTTGGCTAACCTCTCCAGTGCATAGGTAGTGTTGATAGGTAGAAAGTGTGCACTCTTCGTGAGCCTATCGACCACAACCCATACGGCATCATAGTTCTTAATCGTCCGTGGCAGCCCCACCACGAAATCCATAGTCACGTGTTCCCACTTCCATTCAGGAATGGAAAGTGGCTGTAGTAACCCAGCTGGATGCTGATGTTCTGCCTTAACTTGCTGACAAGTAAGACACCTACTGATGTACTCGGCTATCTCCCTCTTCATACCAGACCACCAGGAACCTTCCTTCAAATCATGGTACATTTTCGTGCCTCCCGGGTGCATGGCATACGCCGATGAATGAGCCTCCTCTAAGATGGACTTTCGGAGCTCATCATCCAACGGTACACACACTCGGTTACGGAATAATAAGAGACCATCGTCTCTTTCCCTGAAATCCTCAACCGGTCCCGCTAGCATGCGTTCACGGATCTTCATAAGTTCTTCATCGGTTTCTTGACCCTTCTTGATTTCATCAAGTAATGTAGGTCTCACCTCGAATCTAGCTAACAAGGCACAATCGCTAGATACCTCCAATTGGGCTCTCAATGCCCTCAAACTAGTCAATAATGCCCCAGATGAATTCTTTCGGCTCAAGGCATCCGCTACCATGTTGGCTTTACCGGGGTGGTACTTGATAACTAGATGGTAGTCTTTTATCAACTCCATCCACCGTCTATGTCTCATGTTTAACTCTTTCTGAGTAAACACGTACTTCAGGCTTTTGTGGTCGATGTATATATGACATGTTTCCCCGTAGAGATAATGTCTCCAAATCTTCAATGCGAACACCACCGCCCCCAGCTCTAAGTCATGAGTGGGATAATTTACCTCATGCTTCTTCAACTGTCGTGAAGCATAGGCAATCACTCTCCCATTCTGCATCAAGACACATCCAAGCCCTTGGATGCTTGCGTCGCTGTAGACATCGTATCCCACACCCTGTTTGGGTAGTGCGAGTACCGGTGCCTCAGTCAATCTCTTCTTCAGTTCAAGGAATCCCTTCTCACATCGGTCATCTCATACAAACTTGGCCCCTTTTCGAGTGAGCTTTGTCAATGAGACAAGTACACTAAGTACATGTTAGGCAAACATAAATTTCTACATTCTAGATTTAATAATATTTAAAAAACCTTTAAAAGATTTGATTCATATGCTTGACTAAGATCTTTTAAAAATAAAAAATCTTTTTAAGATGCTACAGTGAGTAGCATATGAATACAATATGTAGCTTTTAACATTAACTGGCGTTAACAGCTTTTATACCAAACATAACTGAACCAAACATTTATTATTTATCAAATGGTTATTACTCCCTCCGCTCCCTTATAATTGTCCCATTTTTTCATTTTTGGATGTCACCCTATTATTGTCACATACCATATTTGGTAACATTTGTGTGGCTTTAATTAATTCTTACTTTATTCGCACTTTATCAACTCGTCATCAACCACATAATTTCACTTTTCTTAAAAACAACATCACTCCCTTCCGTCCCAATATTAGGGGGACGGAGGTAGTACCATTTTATTTTAAAACCTTTTCGGTTACTAAAATTATACTCCGTAATAAAATATGTGTTTCAAGTAATTGTACCAAACATACCCCACTTAATTAACATAGTACGTAAAAGTTACGGAGTATTACTTACCGGCCAGGTCGGGGGTGCAAATCCACAATTTGCGGCGTTCTAAGCGGCGCAACTGATCATAATAAGAGTAAGAAATACAGATGCATTACAGTACTTGGTAAGAAATTAGAGAAATGCTAGGGGTACACAAATTGTACACAAAATGACGGTCACAGACAATTGGTGCGAAGTTGCCTGTGAGAACAGGCAAGAGTTGCCTCTGTACATAGACAACT